TAACTCTTTAATGAAATAATTATTAATATTTTGTTTCTTTTCTCTTTTAGGCGACTTTTTGGTTCTTTGGACATAGGATTTTGGTGAGTATATTACTTTTTTAAAAAATTTCTTTATTTCGTTTTTTAAAATAATTACTAATTTCTTTTTTTTTCTTTTTTTTTTAGACGGCCTGGACATATAGAATCTCAGTGAGAAAATGGCCTTGGTTTTTTCATATTTTTAGACAAGTCTGGACGCGTAGGATAGGTAAGTTTCGAAAACAGAAATTTGAAACTTTAAAGAAAAGTTTTTAACTTTTTTTTTTCACTTTTGTAGGAAATCAGCTCTGACTTGGAAACTGAAATCCTAGATAATGGCAAGTTTCAAAAAAAGGAATTCAAACCTTTTTAAAAAAAACTTTTTATCGAAAAAAATTTTTTGTAATTGATTAAAAAACAGTTTTTATTAACCTTTTTTATTTCTTTTGTAGGACTCTGTCTTCAGAACCCTTGTGAAAAGACATTTAATTACAGGACTTCTTTTATTTTGTAGTTTTCCTTTGACTTAATTATCAGAACTCTCAGTATGATAACGGTTTTATATTGTTCAGGTTGTACGAAATTAGTAGGTTGAAGGTAATTTTTGGGAAAAAAATTCAAAAATGATAAAAAATTTTGATTAACATTTTTTCTTTTTTTTTATAGGAAAGATTTCCAATTTACGTATGGGATCGGATGGTGAGTTTCAAAATTTTGAAATTAAATTATTTCAATATTGAATTTTTTTAAAGGAAATATTAATATTTACTTTTCCTCTCTTTTTTATAGGAAATGGATTTCTGGTTCTTGGGTGGATTGGATGGTAAGTTTAATTTTAGAAACTTTAAAATTTATTTAGCCATTTTTATTAATGAAATGATACCAATATTTTATTTTATTTTTATTTTACAGAAGCCTAAAGAATTACTACGGTGGTTTCAAAATTTTCCAATTACGTTTATTGATCGGAATCCATGTGTATTCTTTATTGTATGAATACATGTAATACTGAGCATGATGAAGCAAATCAAAGTTAGATTTTAAACAGATATTATTATAATGCAGTATAGATAGAAATATAGTTTATTTATGGCGTTATTATATTACTAACATAATAAACATATTTTATTATATTACTTTATTATTCATCAAAAACAGAAATGAAGTTGCCGGTTTACAGGCTTTAACGGCATTTTTAATTCCATACCACAAGAAATTTGGTCAAGAGTAATTTATTCTTGGTCTTTATTTACCACAAATTACGGTAAAATCAAGTTCGTGAATTTTATTGGAGGAAATCTTGTTTTTCGAAAAAATGAATCATTTTGAGATTTTGAGATATTTTCAACGTATTATAATTATTTATATTACTATTACATTATTTTATATATTGTTGTTATATTATCACTATATGATTGCTATATAAATCAAGACATATTGTTGTCATATTTTCGTTATATGATTGTTATATAAACCAAGACATATTGTTGTCATATTTGTAAGTTTCTGCAAAGTACTACTTTAATGTTATTTAACAACATAGTTTAAATAATTTAAATGCACTGTTACGATATTTTTACAATAGTTAAAGTGATGTATCTGCAATACATTTAAAATGATTTACCATGCATAGTAACGGACATGGTAGTATATCATAATTTTTTCCATTACTTAATGTTAACTTACTCGTGAATTCAATTGGCACAGTACCGTCCCGATTCTAATTAAACATCTTAATGACATTGGATAAAAATTGAAGTTTCTGCAAAGAAGTATGAATGAAAGGACAATCATAATCTAGAGTATGATGCTGTGTTAGAAATTAGAAGTTTCGTAATAGACGGGGAAATCGTATTCATTTGTTTTGGTTATCGGGTAAAAAGATTTATTACATTTTTTTCTTTAATAAAAATAAAATTCGCGCTTGAAGATTACCAACAGCAGCAGATTATTATTTATTGTGATTTAGTCCATTCTAACTTAATTGTTTGTTTATGAGATTTACAAATAATATATTATCGTTTTTATTAGTCTTATTTATCAACTTTTCAAATAAATTTGTTACTTTCGAATTTTGATACCGAATTTCACAATACAACGAATCTTCAGTGTGGTACATGAAAAAATTCTCGTTAAACCGAATATCATGATTATCCGAATTTTTTTTTTAAAGCGAATTTATTTTTTAATATAACGTTAATCTAGTTTATCAAAAGATAGTTGAATTATATATATCTCGCAGTTTTCTTTGCATAATGAGCATGCTATATTTTACCGCATTATACCAAATTTTCCTACTACACCGTCGAATTTTCTCATAACGAAGCCTGATCGGCCCGGACGCCTAATTCGTTACGACTGTAATAAGATTCAAAAATATTAAGGAAATTCTACGCTAGACAAATTCATATACGAAACTATTTTATATTCTTGATTTGTTATAACGATATAACAGAACTATTTTATTTTACGTACAGTATGTATATAGTAACTATTCGAAAAAATAATTGTGTTTGTGTATAATATTTACTTATTTTAAACGAAATAAAGGCTTAAAAGAAAATCTTAAAAACTATAAAACATATTATTTTAAACGTTAAGTAAGTATGAGTTTGCGGAGTGCCGGTGTTTGTGATTTCGGAAAAAACGAATAAGTAATGACGATAAAAGGAATTAAATTTCTGATTGAAATCTACGATAAATTATAATAAATTATAATAAAATTAAAAACTAAAGAAATCGAAAAATATATTAACGTATGAGAATTAAAAAAAAAAATGGAGCGCCAATCTTTAAGAGTCTAATAATGGACGACTGAAATAAAAAGCTTTTTCATGGTTTGCGAAAGTATTGAAATTAGAATTTTCTAAATTTGAGAATTTAATTTCTTCAGCAGCGTCAAATTGATCTGATAAATCGGATGGATTAGGGTCATCACAAATTGCAGTAATCCAATTTCTTAAGCATTCGTAAAGTTGAGATGCTGTTGGTCTATTTGATGGATTCGCATCTAAGCATTGTAACATTAAACTGGTGAAAACAGGTGGAGTTCCATCTACAACGCTTGGTCTTAATCCTAAGCAGATTTCCTGAATTAATTCTTTATTATGAGGTCTATCACAATAAGGACGCATACCAGCTGATAACATCCACATGATCATACCAAAACTATATACATCGGATTCTTTAGTTGGCGTAATTCCATCGAAGATCTCTGGAGCAACAAAGGGAATTACACCGTAAATTTGTTTGGATGATATTTGTTTACTATCAACAGGTCCGTGTAATCCAGTATCTGTAATTTTAGTATCGATAGAGTTCACATTATTTTCGACTAATATGTTCCCTCCATGTAGATTTCCATGAACAAGACCATATTTGTGAATAAAATTTAGACCCGCGGATATTGACCATAACATGTCTACAATATCTCTCCAGCAAAGAATTCCCATCGTTTCTTCAAGGTACGAGTATAAATTCCCGTTTTTATAATATCTCATAACGAACATGTAGCATGATGTTGGGTCTTTGGTTATACCAAAACAATCTGCAAGTGCTCCACTTTGCAAGCAATTATGATATCTATATAACTTTATAAGATTAAATTTTAAAGAAAAGATAAATAGTTAATATTAATACTTTTCAGTTATCATACGTAATCATTCTCATACGAATTAGAAATTTAAGGTTTACTGTTAACATAAATCCATCTCGCAACATTGAGAGTTACGGCTAAAATGTATTTCCGGGTCGAAGTCATAACCTTCGTTATCTATAAAGAATCTACTATTTAAGAAATGATAACTGTTATCTAAATTCGTTTAGAATTTATTTGAAGTTTATCGATCTTTCCAGAAATAATATCACTCAGTTTTCGACCCTTCTCGTTCAAACTGGTCATGTGTCATTGTCCGGAGCGAAGCGAAGGGCCATATCACTGGCCGAAGCGGTATGGTTTCCACCTTAGTGTACGTGATTGAAACTTGTCCAATTTGCATAATATTTCCATAACATTTCCACAAAACTGGAAATTTCATTGAAATCTGTGGAAATTGGACAAGTTTCCACCAAATTTTAATAGTATAAACTTCGTGTAAACCATATCTCGTATATAGCTACGCATTATCGATCACGTGAGTTCTCATCACGTGATGTCGTACAATGAATCGCAAATCTGAGTTTTATCTTATTTTTGCTCCGGGACTTATAAGAATCCGGATGTTAATATCGGGGTTTTCCGGAATTTTTTTATGGAGTCTTTTTTTTTTACTATTTATCACATTATACTTAAGGCCGTGACATACTATTACATAATATCTCCTAAAATATTACGTAATAAATGTCATGGCCCATATAATGTCTCTATTTTCTTTACTTGAATTCTCTGATCTATAAAGTTCTACACGAGCTACTAAGATCAGATAAAATTTACTTGCCTGATTTACAAATTCTCGATCTATGTTCTGAGAATCATCTAATCGTTTTAGAATCACCTTAATTGGACCAGTACGAGACCATATTTCAGTTTCTTCATCAAGATTCCATCTTGGGCCTTCCATCCATACTGCTGAATAAATCGAGCTGAAAGCGCCACGTTTATTAATATTTTCGACCAAGTCGAATTGATCAAAATCGATCCATTCAAGATAATCCATACTATCTTTAGCATTTAATTGAGTATATTTAATAAGTTCATCAATTTTAGGATTTTTACTAGTCCAATTATGAAAATTATCTTTTAAAAATGCAATATCGCAATTTTTACACCATGCTAGGGCTATTCGTTGCCGTGTACAATCGATACATTTACCATATATCTTTCTGGATCCAGACATCTTGAAGCATTCGCAATTTTTTTTAAAAAATGAAGAGCAAACTTATCATTTTTATGTTACTTTACGTTTGACACATCTGTACGTTAAATTATATTGACATCATATGGCAAAATGTTGATAATTACTCTGCGACAAAGCAATTAATTACGAAGAAAGCCAATAACTGATCATTCTGATCATTAAGAATACTGCAGTGATCAACGGATTTCAATATTAAGTGTCTCAAAATATCAGTCATTAAAAAGTTTGAAAAGCTCGCATATTCCTAATCGACTGAACTATAACTAATATTAACAGAGTCTAATTGAAGTCTGAAATATAGGTGACAATTTCGTGGCATAATAAACTTCCAAGTTTAACTTCTCTAAATTTACGAAAGTAGTTTCAGCTTCGTCGAATCTCAGATATTCCGAATGGTGACATGCAAATGTGAGTAAAAAATAAAGACTCATTAATTGTGTTTGTAATGAACTACTTATAAATTATTAAGTACAGCCAAAAGACAACCAGAGAAATTGCGTTTAAACTACTTGAAACGTCCGAAAGCTGATGAGATTCACTTTTGCAGAATTTGTAACAGCAGGCGTACATTAATTTAAAGTACAGTGTATGAATTAATTGAGGTTTATTATTATAAGAACGAACACCAATTATAGAACTACACTTTAACATCAAAGTTGATATGATGAAATTATGTATGTGCGAATTAACCAATCAATTTTATCGGAATATTTCCCCATCAAGGAATATTGTGTAACATCACGGACTTAGCGAAATAAAGATAAATTAGTAATTAGTAATATCTTAACTTATATAGATTACTATATGAAGAAATAAGATCTATGCTTTAATAGTCGACTAATAATAAGACAAAATTGTTTGCTATTTCGGATTTAATAGGGATTCGGGAGATTCATATGATAATAAGAAAATAGTTAAAAAAATTCGATTAATAAGCTAATTCAACTTTTTAATCGAACGAAATTTAAACTTTACATATTTTGAAGTATTCGACAAAATATTTGGAATATTTCGTATAATTTGAAGTCTTGAAGAACGGAAGTGTAGCTTTCTACCTTCCCCATGCAACTTAAACTCTATAAAAACTATTATTTTATCGATACATACACGTAGAAAAGTTTAAAAAGTTAAGATCAATAAGTTAAGGTTTATTAGTATATGTATAATTTTATTGAACTTGGAACTCTGGTTACTTTTCTCTTAAATCTTTCTTATTTTCGTTTTTTGGTATTAACAAGTCAGAAAATTTTAAAGATTTTTAATAAAAAAAGTTATATTTTTAAAAATTATATTTCTTTTTCTTTCTAAAATTATATTAAAATCATTTACAATTGAGTACAGTATTTTAAAATCTGAGTCAGTTTTTAAAAGTATAAAAAGGAAAAATATTGCGCTGTTTTACTGTTTTTTTTTGTTTGATTTATAACAACAAATAAATTTATTGGGGAAGCTAGAAGCCTTTTTATCATAGCAATCATAATTATCTCTAAAGTATTATTAATATTGTTTGGAGATCAAACTACTCTTTCCGCTACTAAAATTATTGCTTTTTCAAAATTAAAATTATTCATCAATAACTATAAATTTAATGCGACTGTAATTAATTAAAATGAAATATTAAGAATTTTCTTTGCATATAAAATTTTTTTTTTTTACAAAGAGAGAGAAAGGATAAATCAAAATGGAAAGTAATATGATTAGATAAAATATGAAATCTAATAAATCTAATCAATAATAGTGATCGACCCCATTTTAATAAAATCGTGAACCAACGTTTTCAATTATACTATAGTTAAGCAATATTGTTTTGATCACTTTAATAATGAATTTGCATATGCTATATTTCTTATATTTATATTTTAAAATTAAATGGAAATTCTGTGAAACCAATTAAAATTGAAACTATTTATAATTTGTTTCGTGTCAGGTTCCTATGATCATTTTTGCATATTGTGTTACCAATCATCCCAATCATCTATACAGAATAACTTCACGTGAACAAATAAATATCCCGATTCATATTACCCATGAAAAAAAAAAGATTTTATGTCCATAATAATAATTGATATATGTATGTAATTAAAGTTGCTTGCAAATAATAAAAAGGCCATTGCCGAAATGGTAATACAATTTCGACCACACGTTTTCGATTATGTTATGATATATGTTAATTAGTTGTACACAACAAGAAGTTATATACTAATTGTTTATTTAGTTCTCTAATATAATTTTTAGTGTACAGCCAAAAATACGAACTTAATTTATATATTGTAAAATGGTATCGTTAGAATATGAATACTAAGGTTTAATTTACGAATTTAATTCAAATTGATTTGATGGTTGACGAATTTGGGACTAAAGTTACACTATAATACTTGGTTACCATGAGGCGACATAATATCCACATGATCATTACTAAAAGCTATAAAATCATAAATTGAGTTGATCAAATTTTCCTTTTTCATTCCAGTTTTATGTGAGCATGTTTTTTTTTATATTTTCATTAAAGGCCTCCGGAGAAATTTTTTAGGCGATATTTGTCTATCGGAAAGTCCATGTCATTTAATGTGATTTGTGTATTAGCTGAGTTTTCTTTACTTTCACTAATAAGTTTCCTCCATGTGCGAATATCAAATTCCCATTTTTATAATATCTCATGACTAACATGTAAAAGATGTTGGATCTTTGGTCAATTTCATTTTGTAAATATTTGTGATTTTTCATATTTAAAAAGGAAAAAAATTTTATTAATTCGTGGTCTATAAGTCAACTAAATCTGGCGTGGCGTTAAATAAAAGTAAAAAATTATGCTGAAAATCATTTTAAGAAATAAACTATTTGATATGATACTTTGGGATAAATATTATATGTTATTGTTGAATAGGTTCACATAAAGTAAGGAATGAAAATCGGGTATCAGCGCCGAAATCATATATGAATTTTTTTGCACTTGACTCACGGATCTCGAATTAAAATTTTATCAAGCGCAATATTAGTAAAACAATAAAGTATATACTTACTCGATATACTATACCGGAAATTGTTTATATAATAAGTTAAATTGGCTAATCAACCGCTCTAGATAATTTCTTATCGATTTATTTGGGAATGTTCTAATATAACAATGCGTTAATTTATTCGTCAAATAACTGTCATAACGTGAGTGATACTATGATTATTTAGGAATATACTATTATTATAATTTCCAATCATATTAGTAATTGTATGTTTATTGTTTCTAAATTATGCGACACGATTATCACATGATACATATAGCAGACAAATCTGTGCTTATTTCAACATGATAACCGCTTATTTCACACCTATTTAAGCATATAATTATAATATATTTATACATCAAATTTTTTATTCCCTTTTTCTGTATTACCAAACAAGAATTTTACTTATTTCTTGTGTTATGTAATAGTCCAGATTTCTTAAAATAGTAAATATTATGTGATACAATATATTATGCGTCTTATTAAATGTAAATCATGCTGAAAATAGGCGGCTCTGGCTTGCCATAAATACAACAATCCGTTGATAATTGTCCAAAGATGTGTGCAATGTGAGCACATTTTTTCTTTGGAAATTCCAAAAATAGTAAATACAAATTAAATTACAGTAATTCATATGATATTAATTACGCATGTGAAAATTACATTATGCCTTCTTTCTTTATAATAAAAAAAGAATTTTATGATAACATTTATTCTTTGTCATTATTTGTTCGCTAATTTTTAATTCTTATCCACACATGTCTCGAATTTGTTATTTAAACACGTTCTTTTTTAAAAATAAAAATAAGGCATTTCAATTTCATATAAATCAGCGAAAAAAAGCGTTAAAACATTAATTAAATCGCACTCAAATCACTTTCACAATCGATACTTAGAGCGAATTAAGAAATGTCTCTTTCATTAGAAACGTCTGTTTCATTGGAACACTCTGAACTCAGAGAGACTTATGGTAAGTGTTCTCTTTGTAAACGACAACGAATTGCGACGATGTGGTGTGAAAAATGTGATATTATGAACTTGAAAGAATGCTTTCCAAATTGGACTAGTAGAAATTCTATAATAGATGAGTTTATTAGATTTACTCAATTAAATGCTAAGGAGAGTATGGACTACCTCGAATGGATTGATTTTAATCAATTTGATTTGATCAAAAATATTAATGATAAAGGAGCTTTCAGCTCGATTTATTCAGCAGTATGGATGGAAGGCCCGAGGTGGAATTTAGATGAAGAAGCCGAAATATGGAATCGTACTGGTCCAATTAATGTCATTCTAAAAAGATTAGATAATTCTCATAATATAAGTCAAGAATTTGTAGATCAAGTAAGTTATAGATTAATTTGTAGTCCGATCATGTGCAGTATTTATATAAACTGGTCAACTGCGTGATTTATGTACGAACCGGAGAATTCTCGTTAATAAAATCGGCGATAAGTAATTAATAAAGTGTGGACACGAGTTAAAGTCAAACTCGCACTGATAAGGGTTGGAATCGATTCAATCGACTCTAAATTTTTTCATAGATGTCTTATAAAAAAATTTTTATAAATCGATCATATGTCTGAATTTTTTGAATAAAAACTAGAAAAATGATCATTTATCGTAATTCTTTTATAGAAATACGGCCAACTTGACCTAATTCTAACAAGATGATCACACTTTAGAGTCAGATCGGCCAATATGTAAATATGATTTAGAATCTACTCGAATCGATTCGATTTACAGTCAGACCTTGATATACCTTTACTTTCTACTATAGGAGAGATGTAAATTTCGGTATAATTTGATATAACGATATTTTTCAATATTTTAAATATCGGGTTTGACTGTGATTTTCAATTTTAGATCTTGCACTCACAGACCAAAACTATTAGTAATTCTGGCATATTCTGGTCCAGGTAAGGTTTTTTTTGGCCCGCGCTTTGACTTATACATGTAATATTTCGGCTATTTCAGCCACGTGATAAATCATTTAATGACATCGTCTGAAGAACCCATGCAAAACTTTTGAGAAGTTTCGACCACTTGTAGAATTTCGACAGACTCTAAATTTCGACAACTTGTATTTAATATATGGTCGAAACTTTAAATTCCTGACCGAAACTATTGCGGTTTTGGCCGAAACTTTCTAAAAATAATGGGCACGACGTTTATTATAAGATCTATAAGCAACTTTGCTTTGGAGCTGAAATGCGGTCGAAATTGAAAAAACTTTCGGCAACATGTATACTTTGACTCTCGTGAATCCTGTCGAATGAATACTTGATTTGTTCTATTTTAATTTTAACGAATATGATAAAGTAGTCAAAATATCGTTAATTTGTGTTACAATCCGCCGATAGTCAATCCTCGAATGACGTAATACTGTCGTGCCCAAGTTGACGACATGCCCCAAATCAGCGATCGACCTAAATTTTCGGCCCACCTTTATAATGCCTTAAGAATTTATTAGCATTACTTTTCACATATAGTAATCATCGCAATTTGGGGCATATTGAGATTTGGGCATAACAATACTATCGTTAATTTAGGTCAAATATAGGCTGGCCAAATTAGTAACCCGAGCTTGGATTATCCGGATCGAACTCAAGCTTGAGAGGATGTTTGATTCCTCAAAGATTTATAAATTGTAAACTGAATAAATTCTAAACATACTTTATTATAAAGCCATTAACGAGATAATGACCAGTTCTTAAATAAATCACGTTTGATCGAAAAAAATTCAGATAATACTTATTTGCTAATTATTAATTAATTTAAAAGTTATATAGATACCATAAATGTTTGAAAAGTGGAGCACTTGCAGATTGTTTTGGTATAACCAAAGATCCAACATCATGTTACATGCTTGTTATGAGATATTACAAAAACGGGAGTTTATACTCGTATCTTAAAGAAACCTTGGGAGTACTTTGTTGGAGAGATATTGTAGATATGTTATGGTCAATATCCGTAGGCCTTAAATATATTCATGAACATGATCTTGTTCATGGACATTTACACGGTGGGAATATATTAGTCGAAAGTGATGTGAATTCGGTTGATACTAAAATCACGGATACTGGATTACACGGACCCGTCGATAAACAATTATCTCCAAAACAAATTTACGGTGTAATTCCTTTTGTTGCACCAGAGATTTTTAATGGAAATACGCCAACTAAAGAATCCGATATCTATAGCTTTGGAATGGTCATGTGGATGTTATCAGCTGGTGTGCGTCCTTATTATGATAGACCTCATAATAAACAACTAATTCAGGAAATCTGTTTAGGATTAAGACCAAGCGTCGTAAATGGAACTCCACCTGTTTTCTCCAGTTTAATGTTACAATGTTTAGATGCAAATCCATCAAATAGACCAACAGCGTCTCAGCTTGACGAATGTTTAGGAGATTGGGTCACAGCAATTTGTGATAACCCTGACCCATCTGAATTGTCTGATCAATTTGACGCTGCTGAAGAAATAAAATTCTCAAATTTGGAAAATTTCAATACTTTCTCGAATGACGAAAAAGCTATTTATTTCAGTCGCCCATTGTGGTTGATTGATTAATTGGTTAGGATTGGCACTTTCATGCGTTAAATAGTATATTTCGATTCTCATTACAATCAAAAAATCAATTTCTCTTATTATATCATTTATTCGTTTTTCACAAACCCAAACTTAACATTTTGTTACTTCATTATAATCAAAAAATCAATTTCTATTATTATATCATTTATTCGTTTTCGAAATCACAAATCCAAACTTAACATTTTGTTACTTAATTACAATCAAAAAATCAATTTCTCTTATTATATCATTTATTCGTTTTCGAAATCACTAACTCAAACTTAACATTTTATTACTTTATTTATGCAGAAGTTTCTAAGGCTCTTCGTTCAAAAATTAATTATGTACTCGTTTCATATAAAATAAGTATTATAATTATATCACAAGCACAATTTTTTTTTCGTATTTTATTCAGAATTTTTTTATTATTATATATAGACAGAATATGACATTTGTATATTTAATAATAATACGGTTTCGCCATGATATTTATTGAATCGCTCTAATAACTAAGTTAATTAGAATCTATGTCGGCAAATCTTCTAAAATAACAATAGATTTTCACGTATTAAATTTTATCTAGCATAAAATTGTTCTTTTTCATTTAACACATAACAACAAAGTTTATTGACGTATAAACTTATTTTCAAGTACCGGGATTTCGCCCTTGATATGTAGGGGTGGGTAATCTTAAGGTATTACGCCTAAATTTATATCGATCGTATATATTTACGTATAAATATTTACGGTATCCGGACTTTTCGCCGAAGTCCATTTCGCCGAAGCCATTTTATCGAATGGACATTTCGCCGAAAAATTATTTATTCCATTTTGGTTATTTTATTGTTTTTATATTAAATACATAAAAGAAATGTTTTCTAGAAAAATTTTTAAATTAGCTGATTTTTATTAAATTTACTCGTTGTTTATAATATACTGTATTAATAGTCTTTTTTTACTTACTTTTTCGTGAATAAATGTCTTCGGGAAAATAAAGTTATTTATTTACTATTTCTTGAATGTTAAAGTGATAATATCCTGGAAAAAAAAAAATCTCTAAAAATAATTTGATTTTTATTTTCATTGCACGATGAATATTTTTATTAAAATGTTAATCGCTACCATTTACGGCGAAATGGACGATTCGGTGAAATGGCTTCGGCGAAATGGGTTTCGGTGAGATGAATTTCGGCGAAATGTACTGTAACCGTATTACGAAAATTAAGAAAATGTATATTTACAATACAGTACCTTTTTTTACATTTTCTTAATTTTCAGTTCGTAATACAGTATATGTAAACATACGACTCTCCGGTTAGAACTTCGTGATATCAACTTCTATCAATAAAACGGTTTACATCGAGGTTTACTATAAATATAATTGTATTTGGTTAAATTGTATTTATTTATTTATCGTATTAACGTTACTAATATAATGTTATCCAATAGAAATTAATAAATTTTGACCATTTCGAGGCCAAAATCGAAGTATAGATAAATGTCAGGTGATCATTGCATAGTGCTGGCCGAAAATAGTTAATATTTGGCCGATGTCAGGTAATATCTTGTTGAGAAATTTATATAAAATTTGTTTATAGCGATAAAATTATTTATAGACAGTTTTTACTCAGAAAAAATTCTTTCGCGAATCGTTATATCGAGTTCTGACTGTAGCCATCGACCAGTTATTGCAGTGTTCATTAAAGCGATTGGAGGTCTTTTAAAGCAAATTAAGTAAATTTAGAACGTAAATATTCAAAGATATTTAATAAGGAATGCAAGAGGATGTCAGATGACTTCCAATATATAGTGTACTTGACTTATAGGAGAATTAATCAAAGAATTTGTCTATTTAATTAACAGTGATGGAAAATGACCAGATCATTTGGCCATTTTGTAATGACCCCTGAATGACCTTCGAATGACCTGGCTAGATAAAATAATCATTTATAATAAAAATTTTAAATTTTATATAAACTTTTTTTGCAAAAAGTTAAAACGATAATAATATAAAATTTAAATTGGATCAAAACAAAATTACATTACTTTCAGCCTATTACTGTCTAAATTATACTCTATAAAAAAATTTCTGGAAAAATTCCGATAAATAAGTAAAATGACGATAAATGATCATTTTTCTAGTTTTAATTCCGAAGAATCTCGGTCACGTGATCATTTTTCTGAAAATAGGGATAATCCGCAGGAACTACTGTCAAAAAATGAGACCCTATAAAAAATTTATTCCGTGTTTTTTTTTATTCCATGTTTTTACAGAAATTACGGATAAAATTTTTAAGAAAGATACAAACAAATTTAACTTAATCTTGTTAATACAGTTAGCTTCATTGTTAAAAAAGTAGGGATGTTATTTGAGTTCGAAAAACCTGATTTAAGCTAAAAACTACTTGAACCGAGTTTAGGGATTGGAACCGTCAAAAAAAAGCTTAACCGGTTAATAACCGGTTAATTAGAGCGTCTAACCGGTTAATAGTCGGTTAATTAGTCGGTTAATTAACCGGTTAATTTGTAATGAAGCTAACCGGTAATAACCGGTTAATATATAAATTTTATATTTTAACGTGTGTTTAGAGGCCTATTTTTTGTATTTTAACGCGCGTTTAAAGATAAATTTTTGTGTTTTTAACTAAATAGTATTATTTTTAAAGAGTAATTTCTGGTAAATATTTATATTAAAATGTATACATTAGTAAAAAATTACATACAGTATATTGTAATTACTTACTACCCAGTCATGCAGTGGTCACCGGTATCAGCATTAAGTTGAAAAGTTTTTTAATTATATTTTTAGTTCTATCCGAAATTCCATTCCAATTCTGATGGCCACTGTAGTATTCAAATTTTTGCATTTTTTCTTATTTAAAATACTATACCCGATCATATGCTGATTTCTGCATAAATCAAAGTTATAACTTTAGAATATTTTAACATAAATAATGTTAAATTATAAATATCATATGCAATATATTATATTAAAATATAAGATTGCAGGTTTATCATCGAATCTATTAGGGTGGGCAAAATTAAAGTTAATGCTAGTAAAGTTAAAGTTAGAAGTTGGCTAGGAATTACTAATTTAGGATGATCTGTATTTTAACCGGTTAAGTTAGCCGGTTAATTAGTCGGTTAATTTAACCGGTTAAATTAACCGGTTAACCGTTTTTTGAGAGGTCTTAACCGGTTAACCGCCTTAACCGGTTCCAATCCCTAACCGAGTTTTAGGGTCATGTGACTCCACTAATAATATTTAAAACTCAATATGCTTCAAATCGGATTTAAAATCAGTTTTTGAGCATAAAGCATAATACAGTAGTATAATTAAGCATAATTTCAATAGAGCATAAACTATAATATAATTTAGTATAATTTTAGTATTGTATAAATATTTAGCTTTTTTATTTTTAAGATTAATTCACATTTGAACTTAAATTGTTTAATTATTCAAATAATTTATTTTTCATCAAACTTTATACTGGAAAATGGAAGCATTATCAGAAATAACAAATCATTTACCAAAACGACGAAAGACTGATCCTCTTTGGAATTTTCTTGATGAAATTGACAACAAGCGATATTGTCAACTTTGTCATAAGGGTTATTCTATTGAGACAGGACTTACTACTATTAAGGCACATTTTAAACATGAAAATCAAAGCAAATTTAATGAAATATTCACAAATAATACACAAATAATTGAACCCTATGATGAAAAAAATGAAATTAAAATTCAAATTATGAACTATCTGATCAAATGGATAATTACGGATCAACAAGCATTTTTCCTTGTTGAAAATAGTGATTTTCAACTATTTGTTAATTCATTAAATCCACGATTTCAACTTCCAACAAGACAATTAATTTCCGAAAGTATTATAAAATTGTATAATCATAAACGAGAAATGCTTTATAATTTTTTTGAAAAGACCCAGCATAAGTTCTCAATCACAACTGATGCATGGACCTCCTGTACGAATCTTGGATATCTAGCCATTACACTTCATTGGATCAATGAAAACTGGACCATGACACGAGTTTTACTGGATATGGTACCACTTCATGAACGACATACAGGGAGTTATATTACTGAAAAAGTGCTAGAAACAATTACTTATTACAATATTGGTGCACGAATTCTTTCTGTAACTACAGACAATGCAGCAAACATGAATGTGTTTGGACGCACACTCAGTGAAGTACTTCAGTCTAAATATAACAATCTTGATTTTGAACATGTTCACTGTGCAGCACATGTTCTAAATCTTGCTGTTAGTGATGGCATGAAAATTATTGCCAATTCTATTACAAAGTTGCGTAACTTTGCCCCTATAAAAACGAAATGTGTTAAATTTATTTTAAATTCGTGCTCATGTGTAATAAATGTCTAAAAAAGCACCATTTTGTTTAATTTTTGTTTTTTTGTAATAAGACATAAATTGGACAAAATGGTACTTTTTTAGACATTTATTACACATGAGCACAAATATAAAACAAATTTAACACATTTCGTTTTTATAGGGTGCTAGTTACATTCGTAAATCACAGCCTTTATTTGAGGATCTTAAGAAAATCTTTGAATTAAAAGGAAAACCTTTTCTTATACCTGATTTGGATGTACCAACACGTTGGAATAGCACATATATTATGATAGACAAAATGTGTCGAATACGTGATATGACTGATATTCTTGTTGATAGTAATATTATACTAAAGGATCGTTACTTGAATGAGAAAGACTGGAACGAAATTAATGTAAATATTTTTTTAATAATTTACATAATTTTTTTATTTATTATTAATTTATTAATATATAAATACTTCCTTTAATAAGACAATTGCTACATTACTTGAACCTATGGCTAAAGCTACAAATCTTTTATCCTCCTCATCATATCCAACAATGGGTGATTTACACATAATATTTCCAGTTATTCTAAAAATTTTAAATGATGCAAGTGAAAATGGTAATATAATGCCATCAATAAAGGGTCAAATTGCGCGAAGAATGTATAAAAAACTTAATGACTATTGGGCTATCCTCCAAGATTGTTGCTATTTATCAGTTGTCCTGGATCCAAACACAAAATTATCATCTTTTGATAATGAAACAACTGAAAGGATACGTACACTAATGTATAATACTTATGCAAGATATGCAAAAGAATCAGAAGAATCTAATTCTGATAACACAAGTAATTCTTCAAGAAACTATTTCAAAAAACATCTCAAATCCATGTCATTGACCACTGGAAATTACATGCATAATATGCATAACATTCTTGAAGAATATTTCTTATCAATTGAAGAAGATTGTAATGTATTGGAATTCTGGAAAGTACGATCAACTGATATTCGTTACGCTGGGCTTGCACAAATGGCACGGGATTACTTGATTGTACAAGCAACAAGTGTGCCTAGTGAACAAATATTTTCCGTTGCTAAACATACAATTAGCCCAACACGAAATAGATTGTCAGAAGAGAATATTCGTGCAAGCCTTTGTTTAAAGTCATGGTATGATGCAAATATTATTGAATAAATAAAAAAATAAATATATTTGTATAGTAAATAAAATTTCAATAAATATTGCATATTTTATACTATATATGCTACAAATAAAATAATACTTTGTGTATTTTATTAATAACAAATAGCGTAATAAATCAGATTTAAACTAACTGCTTGAGTAAGCAAGCTTTACTAATATATTCGTAAGCATAGTTCCAAACATGATTTGAAATCTGACTTATGTAGATCAGTTTGAAATCGGATTCAAACTAGTTTAATCGAGTTTAGAACCTGAACTGAATTGCTTGACATCCCTATAAATAAGGTTGTATGTAAGGAGATTCGAGTTTGGATATTGTGTTCAACTTGTTCAACTTTTTTGTCAATTATACGGAAATAAAATAAATTTTAGTATTGATGCATTTTATTAAATTTAGTAATAATAGAAAAAAAAGAATTAAATATTACGACCCTGTATTTTCCATAAAAGGCTGATATTTCCGGAATAAAAAACCTTATATCACGGAATTTATCATTTTTACGGAGTTTTTACAGAAATAACGGATAAAATTGCGAATTGTACCATCTTTTCATCAAATGATATAAACTTTAATGTAATTCCCTGCAGCAATGACTCTTATTATGTCTTACAACTTTATTCTGATATTAATTTTTTGTTTCAAAAACCCGTTTTAAAACAAATATTTGTTTATGTTGCCGAAATCGATTGTGATGATCACGTTTGATTGGCGTTACACGAATTATACAAAAAAAAAAAGAACTTTTTGTTAGAATTTTTGCACTATTTGTATATATGAGAAAAGTCTTATCCGTTTCTTTTCTGGAATAGCTTACATAACAAAACCTTAATTACTTATGCTTATAAAGCACTTCAATTTTTTTTTTTTTTTAAAAAAAAAAAAAAA